TAGTAGGATCCTTATTAGGACCCCAATATAAGGTACCACTTATTTTCGGAAACTTCCGTATAACACTGCGTCATGATTTGGGAGTTACTCAACGGTTCTCGGAGGACTCCTGTATGAAAGGTCTTTGAGCGCAAGAATCCGACCGATTTTTCTGTAAGCAACAGAAAGACGGGTCGTTTCTTATACTCTCCCCAAAGGGTGCAAGTATTAATATGGTAGCTACTTTGTAGGTATTTGGGCCCCAAAAGTTTATACTATACTATAACTTGGACCCTTTGGGCTCTGTCTGAGACCTGCCCTGCCCGACCTGCACAATGGAAACAGGCCAAGGATGTGGCACGGCTCAATTCCTGTTGCAATCTTCTGCCTGTTGCAATCTAGTGGGTTCAGCCTAAACCCTAAACCCTAAACCTCAGGTTGCTCGTTCATGAACCAAGGATCCCCAAAGTAGCAGCTTCAATAAACGAACGGGTTTAGGGTTTAGGGGCAGCCCGCAGGGCGTAGCGCCTTGAGACGCGTAAAGAAGTGTTAGCTTGTGCTCGTGCAACTGAAGCATTACCAGACCTCGTGCAACTAGTTGGCAAGGGGCGGTGACAGGAAGGCCAGAACAAGGGTCGAGTCACGCAGCTTGCATGTTGCCACCGCATGATAGTGTAGTTCCAAGATAGATCGGATTAGGTTGTTAGTGGCCCACTTGACACGCGGTCCGTCCCTCACGTGCAAATACCGTGATACATGAGCTCTCCCAGTGTCTTCCCTTCCTGACTGCTGCCGCTGCACACAGGACCACAGCTTGAATACTTCGGATGAAATACGAAACACTGTGCCGTCTCCCAACACTACCCCTAAGGCCTAAACCTTAAACCCTGAACCGTTGCATCCCATCTGGGGAACATTCACCTCTCCGGGCCTCGATCTCAGATCCTATAAATCCTAGAAAACCCACACGCTTACCTCAGGTTGCGAGAGGGATTCTGAGTCTCAAATACTATACCGCACCTAAAACTACTAGGTTTTGCGTACTTGGACCTGTTAGGTTCGAGTGTGGGAAGAGACTGAAGGCCCGAGCTGCACGGCTTATCTGAACCCTAAACCCCAAGCCCTAGAGCTCAAAGGCCCTAAGCCCCCTCAACTCAAAACCCTAAACCCTAAACCCTAAAGCCCTAAAGCCCTAAACCCTAAAGCCCTAAAGCCCTAAACCCCAAAGCCCTGAAGCCCCAAAATCCTGAAGCCCTAAACCCAAAGGCTCTGCTGACTTCCCATCTGTCGGCGCAGACGGTTTGGCCCTGAGGTTGCTGGGGCTTTAGGGATTAATATAGAGGCCTAAATGATTACCAACACTATTGTGGGGTTCTTAATTGTAATTATAGTTATATACGATAAAGGACCCCAAAACCCCTACATTAGGGCTCAGGCCCTCGGGATGAGGGGTTTCAGGGATGAGGGGCTTAGGGTTTGTGGCGTAGGGCCTGGGATCCGAGGAGTGTTAAGATTTCACAGCATTTAAGCAGGGTACACCTGGGGTGCAAAAAGCAATGGTTTAAGGGCCAAACCCTGCAATTGAGGAGTCATAACCTAGTCTTTTGTAGGGTTTGCAGCAGGCAGCTGTAAGTAGGTTGTGTCGACGCTATAGAATTCCTGTAGAACCCGCAAGGGAAACGTAAAAGGACCCACAAACCCTCAGCCGAGGTTCCTGTTCGAAGCCTTTGCCTGTTCCTCAGACGCCCAGGGTAGGGTGGCTTTGGGGTTTGGGGTTGAAAAAACTGAGGACGTGTACTTTGTTAATGAGGGTTTTTTAGAGTTGTCTGAGGGCATGTTGAGGGTACTACGATGGCTTTATAACGTTTCTGGCAGGTTTTATAGGCCTCTCTGAGGAAGGCCATCCCGATACCCTAAACCTAGATCCTAAACCCGAAATGGCCTTAAACCCTAAACCCTAGTGTTTGCATGACGGCATCTCGGTGTCTCAGCTCAGCAGGATGCCTCGTTTTGAAGGTAACGGCCCAGGAGGACATTCAGGATGCCGTCGGGGAGAAGGTTTGACAGGTCGTGCTAGACTGGAATTCTGTAGTTAATATAGAGGCCTTAATAGTTAGAATAGGGTCTGGGATATATTATACTAGCATTATCATAAGGAGCCCCCAAAGCCCTATT